TGATTTGAAATTCGTCAATCACTGTGAAAATAAAAGACTTTTCAATGATTCTTTTTAGTGGTGAAGTGAAAAGAAATTTAAAAAATTTTGATTCACTGAAGACAATAAATTAACCTTTCGTAGCAAATTTCACAGTTTCGAAAAAATCAAATTTCAAAATCTATTCGAAAATGCATTTTGTTATGGATTTTCGTTCAAACTGAACTGATAATTATCTCATGTTCAGTCTTGATCTGATTGATATGCAAGCTGAACTATTCTAGCTAATAAATATCACAGAGAAGCATATTGTTTGTTATAAAAGTTATTATCTGAGGACATTAAACTATCAGTACACAATTAAGCCAATGTTGAATTATTACAAAAATCTAGTTCATTACAGAGAATGTACTTCAACTTTTTGAAACTTCAATCCAAGGAATTGTTTTTGGATAAAGCAATTTGCGCTTTAAATCAATTATCAAACAATGAATTCCTTCCTTGTAACAAACTCGGAATAAATTCAAAGTCAGTAGCGCATAATGTTGAAATATAAGTTTTTAAAATATCACTTCTATCACATAAAACATTTTTAATTATTAATTCTACCTGAGGCTTATTACTTCTTAGCTATTTAGTCAGCAGCATCCACAAGGAATCAAGCATATTACTAAAATGCTTTATGAATTTTAAGTAATCTTTAAGTAATTTTCCAATTTGTTGCTTCATTTTAAATTAAAAAAAAATTGATATAACAAGCGTTGACATTGTAACTTTTAGCTAACATAGAGATAATTTGAATTTAATTTCATTCAATTTCAGTAAACATTTGTAAATAACTTTACTTTGAGCTCTGTGCTTGCAACAAATGTCAATTTTAAGTTTTTTTAATTATAAAACTTATATTGTTATGTCTGCAGAAATGAAATTATGATAATAATTAATAAACATATTTCTGTAAAGACTGCAAAGCACTAATATTATAGTAAATGTTTTTAAATTTTTTATAATTTCTGGTATTTTCATTTGTTGTAAAAAATATTAAAAATGTTATCGAAGAGAAGCAATTTTCTTGGTAAAATAATGAATTTCTTAAAAACAACAAGTAATGCCATCAATTGTGATTTGTTTTTTAAAATTTAAAAACAGTCTTGAAAGAACACATTCATTGCGTGAAACAGCAGATTCATTACGTGAAAGAGCACTTCCTCAAACTTCCATTTTTCTTTATTTTTATCTTCGTCTTCGTCGAAAATAAGTTCTGCAAAGCATTCAAATAAAAGAAAAAATTCGGTTTCTTATGGAGGGAAAAAGTGTCATCTGCAATGGAAATGAAAAATTGTGAGACACCTTCTGAAATTCTCCTTCAACTGCTAAAGTATTTATGCTTAAATTTGAAATTTATATGTCATTTAATTAAAATAAGCTATTACTGAATACATTTTAAGACTTTTTTAGCGTTAATAAACGTAGTAAAAATTGATTTGATCTCAAAATTTATTGCCAACTGATTTTGTTACTCGTGAAATTTACATAAATGTAATGAGGAAAAATATACTTTGTTTCAGCAGATATTTCGAACCATCGATATCTCATTAATATCAATTCAATCATGCATATTATGCATTGATTTGTTTGATATGATTTATTAGTGAGAGTAAATCGAGAAAATGGCAATAAGTTTTTTATCCACAATTTCTTGCTAATTTGATTCTAGCTTATATTTTTGTGAATTCGATGTGCTGATGTAGCACTAATTTTACATTTCCTTTTGCTGGCAGTATATTATTTAACTTGGATGTAAATTAATTATTTAACGAAATTCCCAAATAACTTTTATGAATATTACAGTAACTTTGGTCGATTTTGGGATTACTCCAGTAGTACTATTACTCTTCTCTAAATTCATTAATTTCTCTCTTCATAATAAATTAAGTGAATAATTGTAATTAACAAAGTAAGTGCTAGAAACATAGAAATGAAGAAGTAAGTAATAAATAACCAGAAATTAGTTTTCAATGATTGCTTATTACTTTAACAAGTATGATTAAATTCTGCTCAGTAAAGAACGTGAAATGCTATAATTATATTTTAAATAGAATCTACTTGTGCGCTACTAATAACTGCAAAATATATTGTTAAAAACCGCTAAAAAAAGATACGTTTACATCTGACAATAATTAGAGCAATTAGAGTTAATTAAATGCAATTAACTTTTATTTTATAGCATAAATATGCAAATATTTGATGTACACAGTGATAATTTAGCAGTGATTACTAGTATGAGTATACCATAATCTTGCGCAGTTTGCTGAATAGTACTTAAGTATGCAAAAGGATTGATTCTCCACACAGTCTTAGAGAGGCTTATTTGGAAAATAATAATGAGCCCATGAGTAGTTCTGTTCTTATTCTTGTACTTATTTCCATATAATCGTAAATTTAATAAACTCATTTAATGATAATTTTATAAGAGAGCCAGACAAAATAAAGCAAATAATAATAATGTGTGCTAAAGAATGAAAAGTATGAACAAACTTGAATTATTTTATTACTTCAACAATTCAAACAGAAGCTTTGAACTATTTCACGCACATAAGTACGTGAAAAAATTCAACGCTTCCATTCAAATTCTATCTCTAATAATTGCTAAAAAAAGATTCATGACTTTCCTAACAAATGTTTCTTAGATCGATACTGTAAATTCTAAATTTATTAGATGCTAAATTTTATTAGATCCTAAATTTTATTAGATTCTAAATTTTATTAGATTAATTTTGAGTATTTAATAAATATTATTTAAACTTCACAAGATGAGAAAGAAATGTTTACAGTTATGAAGGAGGCAAAAACAAGTATATAATGAAGTATTTGGCATTGAGAAATGAATCTTTTTTTCACTTGTGGCATTTAATGGAGTCAGAATTAACATTTTTCTTTACGTTTTTACTTGCAGTAATTGATCGTTGTTCACGCAAAAAATTCGAGAAATTACTTCAACGACCTTCATGACTACATTATATAACTTAATTTTCAACAGTTTTGACTGCAAATATTAGAAAATTTAATTGTCAAACCAGTTTATCAATTCTTGTCAAATAATCACTTAAATAACATTGATCACTGAGTGAATATTTGTTTTTTTTAGCAGTAAACTCATAACGAGAATTGCTTCAAAGAACGCCAAATAGATGTATGGTGTAATATGTGTTAGAAGCCTGACGTACATCGTCGGACAAGCTAAATCTCTACTACAATTTTGGCTGCAAACAGACGTGCATTGAGTTTTCTGGTCAGCAGTCCTGAGAGAACATCAAGTCCTTTTCAATAAAACTTGTTTTATCCCTGCACTCAACATTCATGTTTCTGTACTGATAACAACTAATTAATCTTCGATAAAAATAATATCTAAAAACTAAAAAGTACCAAGTTACGTTAAGTAAAAGTTGATACAGAAACATATTACTTTGGAATCAATTTCTGATGCTACGCTAATTTCGCTGACATGGTTGAAGGCTAGTAAAGATGTTGCAACCAAGAACGAATTTCAGAACAGATATTATTTCTATCTTTAAGTAACGTTAAAGAGTTAAGTGACTATCAGATTTTTGAGTTTGCAATTAAATGAGACTAAAATCTACACATTCTGAGTGTAACATCACTAGACAGTGACTAGTTTCCTAACAAAATTAAGGATCCTTCTGCAAAACTTCAAAACAATGGGCAAAAAGGTATCGGGAAGTAACAAATGAATATTTGCAGCCTTCTACCAAATTAATTATGATGAATCTAAGTCATCTTGTTATCGACAAAATATACATTGCTTACCATCACATGCAAAATAATCATAACTAATAGATACGGTGAGCTTATCATACAACAAAGAATACTTAATGTTAAACACCAATTTGTCTGCCAAAAACCACGTTCTTTCAATCTCATGATTCCAATAGCTGCATAATTACTCCGATTACCAGAGCGTATGAACGATATTTTCCATTAATCATAACCAAAAGTCGTGATCAATGATGCACAGTACAATACCGTAGTACTTTTATACGCTTTTGAATGTTTAGGAACAATTATTAAAATATGTTGAACACTATCTCTCCAATACGACTTTATTTATTAAAAATTAGAAGACAATAAAGATATTTATGATGATAATGCTCAATAAAAAAATTCCAAGTAGTTCTATAGGCTTCATAAGTATAAGGCCTCTGGTGCTCCTTCATTTTTGCGATAGAGCACATTTTCTTTTGACTTCTTGAAATCGTCCATAGTTACTCTCATGCGACGTTCTCGCAATGCTAGTAAACCAGCCTCCGTACACATTGCCTAAAATTCGATATCAATCTGAATTAAGATTTCAGATACAATATGCCTTTGCATTCATGAAAAAAGAAAAAAGAACACAGAATGTAACTAAAACATTGAGCATATACATACAATACGAAAAAAATTATAAATTTCTAGAATCATAAAAATAACGATGAACAACGCACAACGAAACTTGAGAACATTGTTTTATTGAAATTATAAAAGCAGAGCATAGAAGTCAACCTTAATATCAGCACCACTAAGTTCATCTTTGGATGAAATGAATTCATCAACATCGACATCATCTGCAAGAGTCATTCGTGACGTATGAATTTGAAAAATACGACGTTTAGTCTTTTCATCCGGCAATGGGAATTCTATTTTGCGATCAATACGGCCCGGCCGAATTAAGGCAGGATCTAAAGAATCTATACGATTTGTTGCCATAAGTACCTAAAACAAAAGATAAACTTCTATTAAAACCGGCGCATAAATTCTTATATACTGCAAGATATTGACGAAAGCAAAAGAACTAACATTAACTTAAATTCTTTTTATTATTTAAGAGTTACTTTTACATCACCACGAGAGTCAAACCCATCCAACTGATTGAGTAACTCAAGCATAGTACGCTGAATTTCACGCTCGCCTCCGGAATTTGAATCATATCTCTTAGTACCAACTGCGTCTATTTCGTCTATAAACACTATGGACTGAAAAATGAATTACTTTAGATATTATGATAAAAGATTACATTATGAGAGATACAGTCAAATAATAATAAAAAGAAATTGAAAACCAAGTCTTAACATTGATAACACAAAAGAAACCAAAAAAAATTAATAATGACACCAGAGAGCTCTTAAATTTAAAATCTGATAGAGCCATGAAGATTCGTACTTACAGGTGCGTGTTCCTCTGCTACACGGAAAAGTTCGCGCACCATCTTCGGTCCATCACCCAGATATTTCTGAATGAGCTCCGAACCAACCACACGAAGAAAAGTAGCCGAGGTTTGATTGGCGACTGCTTTCGCCAGCAACGTTTTACCCGTACCAGGACATCCATAAAGTATCACGCCTAATGATATCGAAAAGTAAGATAAGCAAGAATTTCAGATCCCACCTCTGTTTGATTATTAAGTTCCCTTTGTAACAAGGAAATATTACAACTTGTGGGCAAACCAGTGCTGAATAGTTTGTCATGAAAAACGTGCCAAGTGTGAATAAAAAAACAATATACAATGAAAATAGATGAATTAGTTTACCTTTTGGAGGCTTTATGCCCATTTCCTCATAATATTCAGGATGTGTTAATGGTAATTCGACGGATTCCTTAATTTCCTGTATTTGTTGCTCAAGTCCACCAACATCTGCATAGGTTTCCTGCAATGGCAGAATATGATGAAGCGTGCTATATTTGCAGAAAGTGCTAATGGTTGTGCTGAAGTTGATAATCATAAATTTCACAATGTAATATGATAGCTTTCAAAATATAATAAGACAAAGTGAAATAACTAATACATAAAAATTTTACTTGTGGTGCTTTCTCTAACTTCATGACCGAAACCATTGGATCAGTATCATCAGCCAGAACACCTATTACGGCATGTGTTTTGTGATTCAATAATACAGCACAGCCAGGTTCCAACTGCTCCTTATCAACAAACGAAAGAATGTTCACGTAATGTTCACTGCCTACGTTCTAGAATGCAAGTTTATGGAAACAATACTTTGGAATGTGCTCATTAATGATATTAGTAATGTAAAAACTCACTGTAGAAACGATTGCGTGCTGATCATCGATGATTTCTTCCAAGTTACCAACAGCCATAGGTGTTCCACGTAAGTCATTTACTTTACTACGTTCTTCCTAAAACTGCTTCAGTTTCAAGCCAATCAAACAAACAAAAAAAGTTTTTAATAATAAAAATACCATACGCACTAATTAATAGGTTTATCGTTATTCAAAAAACGTTACTTCTTGTCTTTCTTCTTGTGGCTTCAAGCGCTCCTGATTGCGAATAAATTCCTGTTCCATCAAAAGATAGTCCTTGACGCGTTCATATTTCAACAATTTTAAACGACATCGAGTGTGCGGTGTAACTGGAATACATAACAGTAAGTCAAACAATTGATAATCTAAATACTATTTGACAAAACCAAGTAAACCTGTAAAACAAAAGATGATATAAAAATAACCTGTGGGTAGTTTTGTTGCTGCATCAGGTCCTTTACCTTTCTTCTTGCGTTTTCCTATCCGTGTTGGAATTGGTGCTTCATATTTTCGCTTCTTTTCCTATAACAGTGAAAAATGATTTTGTATAAATTATTGTTCGGTATTCTACTTACTCCGCATACGAAATATTAATTTCGAGATGTAAAAAAATCGAATTTTGAGTTTAGAAGAACTGAAAACAACCTTATCCGCATCACCAGCACCTCGATCTTCACGTTTGCTACCAAAACCGGATTGTTGCTGTCCCATATCTGAATAGCGCTGTAGAAAACATACACACGTCTAAGTTTTACATTCACAGAGTGGTAAGAAGAGATATTCTCTTCATGAGCGACAGTATACAGAGAATTCCCTTGTTATTTTGGTAGGAGTTTTGTGGGCCATAAAAGTATGAAGCAAATTAGAAAACAGCTTAATTTCTCAAGTTTTTGATAACCAAAAACCAACCAAAACAAAAAATAACCCTGTCAGCGCTAATAAAATTTATGATTTCAGAAGTGGAACATTTATTACAATGGTATCACTGTGATCTATTTCCCTCAAACTTGCTAGCTGCTCCTACATTTCCGACCACATACTACGCCCGCTAACGACAACATGCACAAAATACTTCTAAGTGTGAATCTTTTTTATCACTGAATACTATTGAAATGTTGCATTGATGTTGCATATCACAAAGTTGAAATTACATTTCCAACACGAAAATTGTGCAGACAGTACAGTAATTACATTTGCTGGCTTGTTTCCATCTTGTATAACATCTTTTTTAAATACAATTTAAGTAATCATGCATGGACTCACTCTAAAATACTGCAGTAACTACGCAACTAGTCAAAGAAAGGGACTAGCGTCCGTACTCGGATGCGACGTACACCACAGATACGCATCACATAGGTTCAGTTTATCTTTACATATGTAGACATGACGCGACACAACACGACATCCTCGTTGTCATTCTCATCTCAATATTGTATACTGTCTTTCAGTTTTATGATTGCAGCAATGACTATAAGATAGTTTTATTTTTTGAGGTTTGAAAACAAATTGATACTACCCAAAAAATTCTTGTAATTATATTTGCGTGATAAATAAGGAAGCCGACAAAACAAGAATTTATAGGTATTGCAGCTAGATGGATGTATCGCAGTGTGTGAATAATACTCTTATATATATCACATCTATTTCGCGACATCTCATATTTACATATATTGTCGCATTAATCATTGAATAATTGTGCCAAGTGTTCACTCAGACATATATTAATCTGTACTCACGATGATTAAATTCATATTAAGCAAGCTCGAAAGTGGTCGCAATTAAGTCGCATGAATTTTGATGAAGTCAGTAGTTGTTGATTACTTTTTATAATTGTTTAATAATGTATATCTCAGGGGATTCTGATTTCTGACTAATACATATAGCTCTTACATGGCTAAAATATAATGTTCAGAAATTTTTTTCTACGATAGATGTCTACAACTGCGTAAAAGTAGTAACAGAACTGATACTAGAAATGCTTATAGTTTACGTACTCTGAACATTCAGATGTCAACCATCCTTGTAGTATAAGTAGAGAGTACGCGTACAGTTTTCTTATATGCAAAAAAATATTGCTGCTCGAGCATACGAAATATTGCACAAGTCCTCAAGTATACAGAAAAACACGCACACTCAAACATACAAACGCAAGGACATACGTATTTTGCTCAATATCCGCTTGTATGTGATTTGAGTATATGACGTAATAAAAAACTCGCGGATATGTAAAAGTCAGATATCATATAGTAATTCATAGCGTGCAATACGTTAAAAGACATCGTATAGTATTTTGACTTATTTTAGTAGATTTGATGTGTGATTGATGGCATGCATTTCAGTGATCTACCCCTTCGCACATCTTAAGAAATTCATAGTGTACAGTACGTCAAAAATTTCCTTCTCTTGACCCAAATTGACTCTATTTACAATTATGTGGTTATTTTTGAGTTTTTTTTCAACTTCTACATTGCATGTCATGCAAGGAGAATTCCATTCAGATCAAAAACATGGCGGTTATTTATAAAATAATGGCAGGTCAAATTAATCAAATTGGATTAGTCTAATTAGAAATTAGCATTAACACTTCATGCTAAAAGTAAACTATTTGGCATGATAATACAGTAAAAATCTCGCTGTATTACTTTTTTTGCTGTCACATTCAAAAGACTTTACTTGATGATTTTTGCTCAAACAATTTGTATATCGTTCTGATAATCTTTTTTGCTACTTTTATTTCAAATATAACAATATTCAACATGGTTTTGATAAATTTTTGCATATTTTCAGTAAATTTTTGTTATGTCTTTCCACGAACTTAGTAATTGCGTAAGTGCTGACGATTTTTCTACTGTAACCATCTTGACCTCATTTTCACGCAATGTCAAATTCATTAATACATTGAGGCATTTTTGAGTAAAACCTGATATTACGTGTCTTTAAAAGTCGCGTAATTTTATCACTTTCTTTGCATACACATTATTTTATAGCAGGTGTATAATCACGAATGCAAAAGAGCTTTGTTGTGATCTTATTGAAATTCTAAAATTTATGGCTCAGCATTTCAAATAGAAAGTTTATTATTCAGAACATGCATTTATATGTTTTCACAGCTGCTATTTTGCAAACAAATTTTAGTTTATTGCCTACGTTTTTGTGAGATTTAAAAGAAGCAGTCGAAAATTGCCTTCAACCTAGTTTGAAAATTCCACACGTTGAAGAGATGAGCTTTTTTGTCCCCATACATTTGTCATACGTGTTTTGTAACGTAGAGATCTTTTTATTTTGAAAATAAAATAATTTTTTCATATCCTCGAAAATCCTCGACTATTTTAGTTCATAAAGTATTCGAAGAGCCAATTTGAAATTTCCATACTGTCATAAGACTACAATATATGTTGAAAATTTAAAACGTTTATACTGAAATGATAGATTCTTTCCGGTTTTTAATCTATAGAACATTGCAGTGTATAGATCTTTACTGTAAAAACTAAAAATAGTTATGAATTTAATCCTTAAAGTATTTATCTGTTTAAAGTAGAAAGTATTTACCATATTCCTGTATAATTTTGGATGCAGATCAAGCTGGAATTGACAACACTGAACGAGAAAGAACTCCGAAATTTGGTTCTTACTGTTGCTCAAGATTTCAAGTTCAAGTATGAAACACTGAAAGCACTGTATCACAAGGTTATAAGCACATAGTAAACATTCAACAAATATTGCCAACAATATCATATTAAAAGTATTTTGAATTACTACAATAAATAAAAGCATAACTATTAAATTTATACTTATACGGCAACCAGAGATTAAAAATTATGCAAATTTTTATGCTTAATTTGTAGCATATTCAGAATATTTAGGAAGAGAGAAGAATCGGGATGACGGGCACAGCTTCAGTATGCTTTAATTGTTCAAGCTGCAATCGATCAGCTGAAAATTTTCTCCGATGTGATCAGTGTGATCATATTCTGTGTGAGAAATGTAATGATGACAAAATATGCGAATTTTGTGTTACACAAAAGTAAATTTGTCTAAATTGTTTCAAGTATGACTAACTTTTTTATGAAATCAAGCAATTTTTATATTTTAAATTCTAATTTATTGAAGAAATCAGCAAGTTTGGCGATTATTTAAGCAAAATTAGTTTAAATTTTCGAGCAAATATTATTAATTGATTTGAAAGTTATTGAACTAGCTTAGTTTAGTTGATAAGTAAGCTTTAGTGATGAAGACAGATTAGAATTCATATATTTCATTACAACAATAACTTATCCAAAATCAGTTTAAATTACTGCAAAATTTTTTATCCTCCAGTGGATATTGTTGAATTAGTATAGCTTTCAATATCGGCTTGATTTTGAGATGTCCGGAGTATAAGCTTAAAGAATGGTGGATATTATGTCCGTTCAAAGGAAGCCAATTTGGATATGCTAAATACTTGTGTCAGTGCCCACAGTCAGATGATAATGTATGCTTTGCATAATGAATATATGAATAATTTGTGTTTAGGAAAAACAGCTTTTTATGCTACTTTTTCAGTTCTACTCATAACGTTCAAATAATTGTAATAGCAAATTTAGCAGCTTAAAAAAATTTTTTAAAATATCATTGCATTTAGCCCAGAGTTCTAGGAAGCCTGGTATCTACGAGCTGTATTAGAATTGCATATTGATTTCACGCTGAAAGCACAAGTCGATTCAGCAAGGATATTTAATTTTCCGATCTGCAAGTGTCGAATACTTTGAATATTTTATTCTCTGAACTGATTGATTCATTTTTTATGCAATCCATTACAAAACAAAAAAAATTTGATTCAAATATAAATTCGAATTTAAGTATTTTATTAAAACAGCTTGACCTTCTTCCATCATCTCTTCTTGCTACTCATTTGCAAACATAACCGAATTATTTTGGAATAAATTTGCATAAAATCGGAAAATTTTTTATTAAAATATATGTTTTTTAAAAATTTTTTTTGATCTCTACAATGCTGCAAGTAATTTTTGCATATAGAACTAAAACTTACTGATTTTTGCAAGATTAGAATGATTTTTGACTAGGTCGCACGTTAAAAGAATGCCATGAAAGATTGATGCAAGCTTTGTCAACGTACGATGGATCAAAGCCATTTTACTTCATCGATGATGCAGTCCGTGAAGTCGAAGTTCATTTTAATTAAGATTCTTTTTATTGCCACATACAAGGAATTATCCATTTTATATTCTGTTACACACGTAATACGTCACAAAGTGCGTATTTTTTGCTCGAAATTACTGCATTCAAATAGCTTTTTCTGAAATGTATCAAAAATGCAAAAATATGTTTAAATATTGAAAGAATAATTCAATAGATTGTGATTATATTTTATCTTTCCAAAATATAAAAATCTTAACTTTAATTAAGTTAAAGCAAACTTTTCAGCTTAAAGTATCAGAAGACTGTGTCAAGCAATGTGCAGTGAGATTCAATAAACATAACTATTTTTGGCTTCTTGCAAATGCCATAACTTCGATTTTGGTAAAAAGCACTACAAAATTTGCTGAAACACTATTTATCAAATAAAACCGAAATTTTTATTTGCTCAAAAATTTAAATAATAATAGAAAATTAAATTTCTGAACAAAAACTTTTACTATTGACTATTAAAGTAATCACATATTTCCCAAAAGTTTTTGTTACTTCCAAAAGTTATTACTGTTCTAAATGATATCTGAGTATTAATGCACGGAAAAAACTCTTCAAATACTGCTTATGAGATTTTGAATTGAATTAATCACAATCCATTGAAGTACTGAAAGATTCAAATAATTACCATTCAATAACTAAATTTTTTTTTGCTATTTATAGATGGAAAGGAAAAGCTCACGTAAAGATATGACACCGAAAGAAATTAGCATAACAAAATCAAAGAATCGTTCTGAAGTATGTATGTTATCCAAGAATCCCCATGTATGCTTACTGAAGGTAGATTGATAAACTGTAACAAACATTATTTGTTCACGCAGCTAACATATATACGAATTTTAAAGGATTAAGTTAATAATCGATTGTACTCATACTTTCTCTTAAACCATCATGTAATATCAGTAATAAAAGCTGATTAAATAAATGTATAATTTAATATGTGACTCAAATTCAAATTAAATTGCTACTCTCTTATGATTTGAGTAAAAGTTGAGTTGAAAAAATTTTTAATATTTAGAT